TGAGACTGAATAAGTTGGATCCCTAATACTGTATACCAGATAGTGACAGGGAGGAGTATAGCCCTGCTTATCTTCTGTCAAGTTTGGCTTTGTTTAATTTAATTTTTTTTAGAAAGTACAAGCACAATATTTGAACCTGTAAACACCTGGGAAATGCAACTACAAAACATACATTTATACACACACACACATATATATCTATACATCTATATATATATACACACACACACACACACACACACACACACACACATATATATATATATATATACACACACACATATGAAGAGTTTGGTTATTCTTAATAATGGCTGACGTTTATTTGAATCCTAATGTTCATGACTGACTTTTTTTTTATTATTACAAGCTCGTTTAGTTTCATTGTGGACATGCCTAGCTAAGCACCTTCACTGATGCCTTACAAATCATGCAATGTGTGGCTGCCGATCATTTGCTAGATGAATACATTTTACTTTAACACTGAAATCTACAGCGCTCATTCTTATGAACAATAGGGTAACATCTAATTAAAAACATTTTTTATAAACTACTGGTCACATGACAGTCCTGTGATCTGAGTGCATATAAGGCTATAAACCTCAGTCATATAACATTTAACAAAGCAAAAGATGTGACTAGAGTAAAAAAAACTATTTTACATGAATAAATTCAACTTTTCTTTTTCAAATGTAACAATATAAACACAAAATTACAACATAGATTCTGTCTTAATCTATGTTGTAATTTTTTATTATGTCTACACAATCTGTAATGCAGAAGTTGTTTTGTTTTTTAAATGTACTTCTTATTACTGTCGCAGCTGGCACAGAAGTCTAAGTACTGCTAATACTACCAGAGCAGCTACAGTTCACTATGTGCTCAGACAACCGACAGAGGAACAGGCTGACTGTCACGTCTCATACAGGAAGCTCAACTATTGCTACTTGATGACTGCAGCTGCACTATAAACACAAGAACAATTAGAGCAAGTCTGTTTAATAACACTCCTAGTTCATGAACGCAGCCTCTGGACTAACTGAACCAGATTTACTGACATATTTTGGATTAAGTTTATTTAGAGTGAGAAATGATTCTGTCAACATCTGTTGAACTACACAGTAATATTACAGAAAGTCTATGAAAAGATATTTTTAAAAAGCTGGTTTTTTATCCTTTTATCCTAAAAGCTGTATTACTGTGCAGTATATTGGCCTGGAAAAAAAAATCAAAGTGACCTGAAGAATCTCTATACTTTTTCACACCACATTACCATTTATAAACATTACCAGCTTAGACTGCATTTTTCTGTGACCACTTCTGCATAAAAGGTGGTGTGTTATTTTTCCTCTTCCTTTTCCAAGTAACCGATTCACCTAATACTGGGATACAGGCCATCATTTGAATTATGCGGATTCCAGAGGAGCTCCTCCAACTCCTACAGCCAGTATAAAAGCAAATCAAGCTAAGGCTGCAGGCACATGTGCTAGCTCATTTTTAGCTCTGTTTTATCCTGGCTTGATGTTAGGGAATATTTGTGTTGAGATGTGATTCTTTATGCAGATAATTTAGAAGTTTCCTTTAAAACTGGAACAGACAAAACATATTGTAAAAGAAAAAAAAAAAGCAAGCTGATTCGTTTTATAGAAAATACTTCATAAAGGCTTGAAACAGTCCTGACTGTGATGTCACAGTGACATCAGAATCAGCAATAGCTTATTTGTTGTTTAGTTGTTAACAGAGTGACAATTTGGGCCTGTTTTCTATGCTGCAATCATAATTCCAATAGAGACCTATTTCAACCATGTATGCAGTAAACTTTATTGTGTATACAAGGTAATTGTTTTAAGCTGGTGGTTCAATGCATGCCACTAATCTCCTGTCATTACAGTGACAGAGCCACAACCTGCCACCTAAGGTATTTAATACACGCAGTAAAACATTAATAACCACTTCAACTAACTACTACATTCAGTCAGACCTGACCCTCTGACTCCACCTTAACCCTCTTACCCAAACTTTAGATCTTATGTTTTAAATATCTACAATTTTTAAAATTAATGTATAACTCTAGATTGGTATTTAATCAACAACATTTTCACTTAGTCACATCTTAACTATTTCTAAAATGCAAACCTAGTTTATGCTTAATGTTATGCACTCACATATAGCCTTTCTTCCATCCTCTGAGTTGATTACATGCATAACTTCATACATTTCTGGAGCATGCCTTGCCTAATGCATGATAAAGAGCAGGGACCACTAGAAATCACCTTTCTGGTGGCATGGTTGTTATTGGGGAAAGTTTCCACACCGAGGTGAGTTTCTCAGAGAATAATAACACGGCAATGGGGGAGGAGGTCACAATAATGTTCCTACTCAGAAAGAGGTCCAAACAGCGAAGCATGTGGTCAGAAAATTCCTCCCTGTTTCCTCCGTTTCTCTAGTTGTTCTGTCTATCCCTTGTTTAAAGGAATAGAAGTTAAGTACCGACTTAGCAAAGTTTGGTTTTCTATGGACATAACCCCATGTTGTGAACAAGGTGCTGCATAGCAATAAGAATAATTAGACTCTTCAGTATTGACACAATACAAAGGTGGACCAACAATTAAGTCCAAAGAGAAGTTTAATGAAAAGATGGAAAAGACAAATATGTCTTTTCCATCTTTACTTTCATGTAAAACAATATATTGAGCCGAATGATAAACATATCAAAAATTGATACAATGCTCTGGGGCATACTGTTTACAGACAAAAGCTGTCTTTCTTGTATTGCTTGGTAGTTTTTAAGCAAGCACTAAATTTGTGGAAAGATGAAACAGCCTAGAAAACCTTTTAATCTGAGCATATGTAGTTGAAAGCTCTCCTGTATCATCAACAAACCAAGATGGAGGTTGCTGTATGTTTTAATTTGACATTATCATAATGTGCAGCCATCCAGTTAATGGTCTGCATTTTCTCCCTTAACAAAATGAAATCACTACAGAGACTAGCACAGCATCTATAAGAAAGGATAAACTACCCTAGATTGACAATTTGGTCCATGTTTTGTGCATAAATTAACACTAATTCAACAATAGCCTCTTCCCCATTTAGCTGTCATTCTAGCATTGTTATAGTTAATAGCTGCAGTTATAGTGTGCACAGCCACAGAAGCTAGAGATAAGGCCCTTCCTTTCCTCTTGGCTTGCCAGGTTTTCCCTGTCAAATATTTATAGAAGCTGAAATGTTAGATGGCCATCATCAGCTCTCTACACAAGACAGAGCAGGCACAACCAGCAGAGCAGCCATTACACAGATCACTACTTAAATTTGTGCTTTTCTCCTGATATCTGACATAGACCTGCCGATGAATACCAAATGATTCACCACATTGGCAGTAGAGTCTCAGCTGAGGAAACCTCTGATAACAGTCTCCATGTGAGTTTGAATAATCAATGTTGGGCCACCGCGGCTCATCCGCACAACTTAATTTTGATGGGTTGGTGTGAGTAAAGTTGCAAATAATTAATATGAAGAACTTAATTTTAAAAAAACTTCAGTTAAGAAGGCGTTTGTTCATGCTGCTGACCATATAGGATTAGTGTAAACTGAATTGCCAAGCCTCTGAGGACCAGTATTGTTTCGTACCAAAGCATGCTAAAACTACAGACTTTACATAATGTAAATGTTCTGTGTTGTAACGTCACTTGATATATGACAGTTAACAACAACGATAATCAGTCAATATAATATCATCTTCCAGATGTCAGAAGTCTTCAACCTAACATTTTCTCATCAGTTGTTCTCTAAATTCATATTCAAAACTGAAAGTATATTTTAATAACACTTGAAACTACTACCAACAGAGACAGTTCAGTTATTTATTTACAATCTATGGACATAAGATCTTTTAAAGGCCTTAGTTAGCTAGACAGGTTCATTGTGGGTAATTTATTAAAAACAAGACTAATGGTAGACTCAGGTCTTTGATGAGGCCTTCAAAATTTATTTTTAAGTTTGTGTTTTTTGTTTTTTTTTTACAATATCTGTTACTGACTGAAATAAGAGTTAGCATAGGTGCTTTAAAAATAAATCCCATAGCCCTTAATGACACTAGGACCTGGTTCTAATGAGGAAAACCCTAGGTTCTAAGGCTCTGGTTCAAAGTGAATGTGTGTGTGAACCGTAGTTAGGTTGAGGTTTGGAAGAGGAAATACCTTTTAAGGGTAAAGTGCAGGGAAAGGGGGTTGATTAGATTGAACAAATGTATGGTAGTCAATGCTCAGTCTTAACACTAGTATGTGAATGTACATGTGTCCTTTTTTGCTACATATAAAGATGAGGATTTCCAGCATTGTTAGTTCTCCTAACAATACTGGGAGTACTTTACAGCCCAGTTAGAAAATGGTGCGTTTAATGTAAGAAGGGTAATGAATAAGGTAAGGGACAATTATTTGATAAGAATGATAAGGAAGTCCAGATGAATACGTTCTTTCCGTGTACTTTCCAGACATGAAAAGCAGTACGATAAGTTTAGAGAGAAGAAATGGCTCACAAATGCTATGGTAGTTACTACAGATATGTGGCAAAAAAGCTTTTACAGCTTTAAACTTTCGAGAAAATGTTTTACGCACTACATATGTTTTAACTAACAACTCACACGACTAGATCAGTGAGAGTTTAAAGGACCCAAAGTTTAAATGGCCATAATAACTTAAACACCAGCACATAGTAAATGGTGGTTGTCAGTGCCCAGTTGCACAGACAAGCGTTCAGTGGTGGCCGCAGAGCGAGTCTTATCAGTAAAAACTACTTTAACTACGACAGAGGAAGTGACCGTTTAACTGGACACCTAACTGAGGAAAACTGAGGCTGTTCGGTGTAGGCAGCCACCGCAGGAGCAGCAGGAGACGGAGCGGCGGGGGGAGACTGACCTCACTCTGCCTGTCACACACACAGCCTTCCGAACACTCTTTAAAATACACAAGGAGAGGCGGCGGTTAAGGAAATGAGCCATTTACCTTGCTGCTTTGGTAGCCTTCGAACGCTCTCAGTGCGCTGTCAGTGAGTTTAACGTGAAAGACAGAGACATTGCTGCCGTTGCTCACTCTTCCACAGGACAGTCCGTAGCACTGCTCCTCCTTCAGCGCCGCCATCTTGCTACCGTTCCCACCACGCGCACGGACGCACACTGTTGTAAAGCGAGAACTCCCGACGCTTTTCAATGAATATTCAATGAACGCGATGATGAAGAGGCGCAGCAGCAGTGACGCCCCCCGCATATGCTTGGCTCTCACTGATAAAATAATTAGAATAGTAGTAACAATAATTATAGCAATAATAATAAAAACATAAAACACGAATATTGACCGAACATCGTTGATTAAACATCGCTTTAAAAAACATGGACATACAACTCATGACGTAAACACAAGACATAAAAAGGCATAGAATGTAACATTTGTTTTATACGTAACAAAATGTATGTTTACCACAGTAGTTGTTTTAAAGAAAAAAGAACAACGCATGGTAATGAATGTGGCAGTGTTGCGTAGGAAGAGGGAAACGACAGGTCATCTCATGACGTCAGCTAAACGTCAACGTCTGAAAAAAGAAACGGTTAGGGAATGTCCAGAAGTCAGTTTAAATGGAAATGATGTTTCAAAAAAATTAAGGCTGCTGTTACTCTAAAGTACATACATTGTATTGCACATATGTACAAATATACTTTGTAAACATACGTAAGTACGTACACACATATATGTATGTACACAAGAACAGGGCTCAGTCAACTGTTACTATTGACGTCTCAAGTACGCAGTTACACTGTCTTTGTAAAACCCAATAAGAAAACCAGTTTGGAAATTGACTAATTTTATTAGAATTATAAATATAAAATTAACAAATAAAGACCATGCTAGGACCTTTTGAAATCACCTCATTTATCATCAACCGTTTTGGCTCTCACAGTGGCATAATGTTTGTCTATATTATGAAAACACGTGAAAAGAACAATCAAATAAATTAACAAAACACAGTACAACTTAGGAGGACCCTAACAGCACATGAGGAAATGATGAAAAAACAACAAACAAACAAACAAACAAAAAAACACATAGCGCACATACCCAAGGTTTATACCTGAGGGGTAACATTTCAGCATTTGGTCTTCAAAGGAAAACTCACCCACCAGAACTATTCTTAGCCATACTACAGCAAAACTCATTGCACCACTGAGAGGTTATAAATGCATTTCTGTATACCTAAGCCAGGTCATTTTGGAATGATGTGCAGGAAAATAAAGGTTTTGCTGACATACTTGGGTACAGAGCATATTAGCGTTACAATGAAATCTAATGTGTTTACAATTATGATAGAACACAAGAAGCATAACGCAATGAGTATTTGCTGTGTCCACGTGAATCAATGACCCTTGTTCAGACTTGGGGTTTTCATCAAATCTGTAATACCTATAAACAGACCAATGTTAATCTAGTTATTACTTCATTTTACGAAACTGTATTTCTGCAAGACAAAACAAAAAACAACGGCAGCAAAAGAAACCAGTGTCAAAGATCTACACATTCTTACATGTAACGAGGAGTTATTTTTTCATATTTAGAACAATGTTCTTTTATTCATCATGTGTACTTGTCTAAGTGCAGAGCAACCAGAGAGATAGTGAAGAGACGACCGACCCGACTGGCATTTCCACCCCTGTTCTCATTACCAAATTAAAATGCTCCTGCCAGTTGTGCTCCTGCACATTGAGGCTCTCACACTGTAGGGGCCAGGGGTCATAACTCACAACTCCAGGTTTGGTTCAGTTTCTAGCAGCAATGACAACAGATAATGCTACACCACCAATGGCTACTACAGTGGCACCAAACAGCCACTTCCAGCTAACTCCCTGAAAGGAAAAAAAAAAAGAGAGAACAAGCAGATTAAGAAAGTGGGTTGAATAATTAAATGTTCCACTGATTTACTTTGTTGGAAAATTTTGAATTAGAAACAAAGAAATAGGTGTTTAGTCTCACATAAATTTGCTATACATAAAAGGTGGTATATATATGTATATATATATATATATATATATATATATATGGTGTTAACATTTTTATGAAATTACATAAAAACCCTAAAGTTTAGGGTTTTTGAACGTTTGAACGCTTTTAGGGCCTAAACCTTCATTTTAACAAGTGAATAGTTAAATTAATTTATATGAAATTAGTCAAATTAATTACATTAACTTAATTAAACTCCTGACAGATTATTAATACTAAATGATATTGTCTTTAGTAATTACAATTACATTTGTCCAGATTCACACTCAAACACTGGATAAAGATTCACAAAGGTCAAACCATACTAAGAGCATACTTACATACATACAAAAAATGTAATTAGACTAAGTGTCTCACCCATGATGACTTGGCTGGATGCTTCTGTGTGCTGCTGTTGATACTGGCTGGATTTCCCAGCATCTTCTTGTACATGGCCTGCTCAGCTCCTCTCTGCTCTGAGTGCTTCTTCACTAGTTTGGAGAGCTCTGCGTGGATCATCTAGATTGCACCAAGACAGACAAATGGCAGGTTTGTTGCAGGTTTTGGATTAATGTAAAACCACTACCCCCACCCCCCGTAACAATGATAGAATAAAGGAAATAACAGTGGGTTACTGAGCCCCAGACAGGCTGGTCCTACATTACACATCCATTCAAACTACTTGCAGTATGGATGGTTTTCTACACGAACAGGAACTCTTTTTTATATCATTTTGTTAAACAGGTTTATGGTTGTTGTTGGAAAACTTTTAGACTTTCACATTAAATTAGCCTTTTATTTTGCAGACATGTCCAAACAGTTACTCCAGGATGATTATTTACACATTTTTTTCAAATTTGAGTCCCTTCACTGCCCTACAACCCATCAAATGACTAAGCAAAACCCTGCCTTAAGAGGCGTGACAGAGGATAATGCTTTAGGGATGTGTGTCAAAAAGACAGATGGAGAACTGCATATTGACATACAATATTGTTGACTCAGTCAGTAAGTATAAATGTTTGAGACAAACCCAGAAACATCTATCCCCTCCTGTCACCTCTCAGCTGTGGTAATGTAAAAAAAAATTTAAAATGATGCAAGTAGTTAGAAGATGAATATTACAGAAATGACAATATGGCTAATCAAACATCTCATGTGCCATCCTGTTCTTCCAAATCAAGCATCACGGCTCTGTGAGAGAGTTCACACTGTGGCTGCTAACTTTGCACGGCATGTCACAAAGTAAACAAAGTCCAGTATAATAAATCTTCCTGCATCTGCCAGAGCTGAAGGAAGGGGGCGTGAACAGCTGACAGCACGTCTGGGAGATAGCATATCTACTTGTCAATCCACTGTTCCAGTGCACGTCTCAGGCAGCCTCTTTATAATGGGACTGCACATGTATTGTTATTCCAGCACACCCACAGTACTGTTGTAAAATGAACTATTTAAAGTCTTACAATTGTTACAGCAAAGGACAAGGTCCATTATTCCTCAAAATAACACTAAATAAGACAAGTGCTGACAAGTGTTGGAACACTTCCTGTTTGTCTTCAACCTACGGTGTTTAGTAGTTATTTTGACGTCCCCTATAAATTTATTTTAAAAAAGTCTAGTTAAAACTAATTTCTCATGGGAACTATTTGGCGAGCAGTGCTCTAAGTGGAAGACGGCTTTGTTGACGTGTGATGTGTGCCATATGTTGGACTGTACTACATTCACTTTCTTTCGTTTGTGTGCAGATTTTATTTTTTATTTTTATTCTTATAGTGTTTGTATATCCTAGATTATAAAACCACTGTGTTAGCATAGGTGAGTGACATATGCACTCATGTACAGTATGTGTGTTCTGACTTACAGAACTCACATACCGTACTTACTTAATGTCACACCATACGGAAAGAATTCAGACGCAAGTCACGGACCCCAGGTAAAATACAGAAAACTTGTCTAATTTTCTAAAAGATAAACAGAATCTGAATCTCCCAATTCCAACAAGCTCAATAGTTTTTAATCTAAAGATTTATTCCACTTCAGTCACTTGCTTTATTGAGAGAGGAATAAGAGTTTAGCTTAATTAGAAGTTTTAATGTTATGACTGTGCACGTAAAAATACTGAAAGACGAAGGTGGAAGAATCAAACATATAAAAGATAAAGATTATATTTTCATGAGACACATGGATTTTATGGTGGGATGGCCATCACAGGAGAGGGTGAATTCATCACTTAAGTGTTTTGTTAGGGCTGTCCCAATTAAGCAGTAGAGTTTGTGACAAATAATTAGATTTTAACACATTTTAAAAGCTGGGGAAAACAACGTGCAGCATATATCCAATAACCTATCCATTAACTTATCATTACTACAATACAACCAACACACACATTATTATTTGTAATAATAATAATATTATACTTTGTAATTGGCTCAACTTGCTTAATCATAATTTTTCATGATTTCATGACTAATGCATGTTTTTTTTCAAACCATCATTTGCTGTTCTACCAAAATAATCGATATTTATTTAAAATATTAAATTTGATATGATTGTGACATTTGTTGAATTTAAACTGATTGGTGTGGGATTAACGTGGGGGATCCTGTGCACAAGCAACAAGCTGCTCCAACATACAGCTAAAGAACCTTCACTGTAACCTAATAAGTGAGCAAACACCACCACCTACTGGATAAAGTGAGAAAGTGTCTCCGTACCTTGTTTTTTGGTTCCAATTTCAGTGCCTTCTTCAAAGTTTGAATGGCTTCATCATATTCACCTTGTGAGGCCAATACCTTGACAGTAAAGAACACAATTAAAGATGAGCCAGACAACGGTTACTACTTAACATACCAATTAAAGTAAGAAAGAGAATGAACATTGTACCTTGCCCATGCGGAAAAGTGCTTTTATGTTCTCCGGTTGGTGGGCCAAGGCAGAGACACAGGATTTGAGGGCTGCATCATTGCGGTCCAGCTTCAGCTGCGAAGCAGCCATGTTGTTTAAACACTTTACTTTTACTTCAATCAGCTCATTCTCCTCCTCAGGAACGATGTCAACTGCCACGTCAAAAGTCAGGTAAGTGTTAGATTGATTTGTAAAGAGCAAAGACAAATGACCTCGGCCTGTATCTCACCTTTAGAACTAGACTCTGTTATCTGCAGAGCAATGCCGTACGAGTTCACTGCAAAGGCATAGTCTCCACGCTGAAAATGAGCGTTGCCCTTCTCCTTCTTCGAATTGGCAAGTGCTATCTTTTCTCTTGGAGTCAGAAGCTCCAGATCGGGAGCATCTTTAGCTTCAAGGAGTTCAACTTCTAGAGACAGCTCAGCATCAGGTGGAATAGCTGGGTCTTGACTGGACAAAGTGACAACAAACAATTGAAGTCATAAGTATAGGAGCAAGATTACCATGGGGAAAACAAAATGGAGAAATATTATGAACATTCATGGAAACAAATGAACAAACTCAATGTACAAATAAAAATGTGCATTGAAATATTTAGGTAAAATTACTTTTTGCAATACCTTCCAAAGCTGCTATATGCATATATTGCATCCGTATGAATGAGGGCCTTTTCTCCCATTTCCATGAGCTGCACTGTCAGATCCACAGCCTACAAGGAAGAAAAAAAAAACACATTTTGGTGGAACAGCCTTTTGACATATATACAACATATTGTTTAGAAACACTAAAAACTTCAGAGATGTTTTGCAACTTTAAGAAACTCTAATTCATCTTCCAAACCTGAATGACGTCACCATCTCCCAAAGTGAATGTCAGGCCAGTCTGCTCATCAACAGGAGTCCCATCCTTCAGGCAGGTCTTCAGATTGATTACCACATTCTGTCCTTTCTGTGGCCGACTGTCTCGTCCCTGTCCTTCCTCCAAGACTTTTTTCTTCAAACGCTCATTACCTAAATAAAATGTTTTCATTTATCTCAATCAGACTAAAACTGCATTTCCAAGTTGCTTAAATAAAAACTCAGCTGTCTAAAGAACTTTACAATCACATTTTATGTATTTTATAAGTACTGTACTGTTTTGTTGGCGTTTATTTTTTCATCATATAAAAATATTTTTCATTCTATCAACATGCTATTATAAGCTACTGAAGTTACTCCTGTCTGTTTGTCAGAGTTATTTCACAACTGCCATCCAGACACTGACATCAGAGAGTCCAAACGGTTAGGTTTGAAAAAGCTACTGATTATGACTGGTCAGTTACTTAAATAATACATTACCAAGTTTCTTAAATTCAAAATTCACAAGTCTTTTATCTCTATTTTATAAAACAAAAAGACTTTCTAGATTAGAACACTTTCCAGAAATTACAAGATGCTCAGTGTATTTGAATGGTTTATGTGCAGTTCAACTACATATGTGTTTTTTATAGGATAAAGCCTCTTTTATGCAGTACTTAAATCTGTAATTTACACACCTTATTAAACAGCTTTAAAAACATACCTAAAACATCGAGCCACTCCTCCGTTTTATTTGCAGGAAGCGGTGCCGCCTCGACTTTCTCCTTTATAGATTCTGTATTTTTGTCTTTCCCTCCTCCGGCATCTTCCAGAGGAGGGGGCTCGTCATCAATGTCCTCTTCATCTAAAATCATGAAGTCCTCCCCACTGTCCAGCAGTGATGTTTGTCCAGTCTTCTTAGGGGACGACATGCTGTCATAGCTCTCACAGTCATCCACAGGGTCCTCCTTGTCACTCATTGCCACAATACTGTGAAGAAGGAATTTGACAAACAGAAATCTAGTAACTCCCAGCCATAAGCCCAGAGTGTCATCTCTGTGTAAATGGTTGTGTTGAAGTGACATGACAGGGACATGATGTATTAACAAGATTCAACCACGTTGTATTTCATTTTCCAACTCCAGAGGAATTTAAGAAAGAGCTGATAATAGACAACGGCCAGAACAGAACATAAGTGAATTCAACTTGGAGATGGTGCACAGACCACAAAAGCAGCGTAATACTGCCAGAGACAATCTTCTTACTTAAAAGTCTTACAACTTTACATAAAACGAAACTAATGTCTTCCTCTTATCCCTATAGATGATGCACAAGCAGCGCCGCAAGATTGTCAGTCCTTTTAGACATCTGCTTCACAAAAAACAACACCTTTACGCAAAACTTGGCTTTGCAGTGTGCAAACAACAGAGGTGTGCTGTCGAAAGCAACTCCTCCTGGATGAGCTGTTGAAATAATACAATATTTAAACATTGTAATTAAATAATCCTTTAAGAAATTCTTTAAAGCACCCCATATTAAAATAGTCATGTGGTCCTGACTGTAGAAATAAAAACACAGGGTGTCATAATACCTAGTAGACCGAAAGGGCATAGTGAAAAACATCTTCCAGTACATCATAAACTTACTGTACACAACATGCTCAAAAGTCTAGTGAATTAAATGGTCACTGTTAAACATTTAGATTTTCCTGTTTCTCAATATTGGGATTAGCAGCAGTCAGGTGGCGTTTCTAGAAGTTTCTGTTGAGTTAAACTGCTACTAGCATCACAAGCAGCTAACAGGCTGCGGCTAACAGATTTAAACAGGACTGACTCCGTGTTTACCAAGCTCACTATAGGAACTACAGAGGCGACAGCAGCTCTGTGCTGTCGTTTCAGTGTGTCAGAAATGGTCCTTGAAGCGACAGCACAGTAAACCTTTTATTTGTTTAACAAAATTGAACAAAGTTACCTCCAGATACCAGATGCAAGGATGTGATGGTTGGTTTTGGTCCCGTGAAATCTACGTTCCTGTGTGCAGAGACGAAGTTCGCTTTCTGTTGGCAAACAGCAGTGCAAGTAAGAAGTGGTCCGTTCTACTTGCCACGATGTGAGACCGACTTTGTGTCAGTCTGTCGTCACAATATGCTACTTCCGGTTCACCTTGAGCTACTGGACCACTGTTTGACCTTTCCCATTCAACGTAGATATAACTGTTTAAAAACTGCTCGTTTAAATGTGACAAACAGACAATTGACAACTCGTTCATCTAAACTGATAAGTCGTTTAATACTTCACTAAATGTAATACGACCGAATTCCTTAAGAAAATTTTTACATTTAGAATCACCTATAAATAAAGCTAAATAAGTATAAATTACATGCTAAAAAAAAACCCAACAAAAAACAAACAATATGTTGACAAGCTCAGAATTGATCGTAACAGTGAAAAACAACCTGCCTGTATTGGACAGTTTTAGTGGAATCTTGAAGAAATGTATGTTAATGGTGAAGTAGGCCATATTTTTGTTTCATCCTTTTTTTTTGGTCTTCCTTTCATTTGTCTGCTTTGAAGATCAAAGCCTGGGATTAAGTGTTTTAAGTCTGAAAATAAATCTGAATGATGCTCAGTTGAACAAGAGTGACTTATAAAACTAACAAAACAAAAAAAAAAAAAGAAAAACATTGTACTTTAAAAACTTCAGTGAAGCCCTTGTCATCAACATTAATCATGTCAAAACACCCTCACGATCCAGTTAACAATCGTGTCAGTCAGCAGGTCGGCTCTGCTCAGTGAGACTGGTGTGAAACAAGCTGGGTGTCTGATCTGAAGTTAAAACCTTTGCAAACACAAGCTGTGCATTGAGATGTTATATTAAACTCCAGCAGCGTATGCCAATGATGCAGTGTGTACTGACTGTGTGTTAGACTAACAATAGGCAGACAGACGGTGGAATTATTGGATATGTTGTTCGTGTCATTCTGACCATGCGATAAAAGTTTTAATCTTCACAAATTAATTAAGATGATAAATGCATTAATGTGGACATCCTCAGTTTATTTTTATGAACTGAATATATATTTTATATATACTTGTTTGTTGGAATCATGGCGTAATAATACATTTATGATCATGTCCATGTGAAAGAATTCTTTGTTTTTAAATGCTGGTGATATACAGTCACTTCCTTTGCAATCTACTGGTAGATGGTCACCTACTTATCAACCCTGCCATAAAAAATAAGGGCAAGTAATAGATCTCTGTTACACAACAAAACATTTGGCAAAGACATCAACAATGTGAGAACTATGAAAATTTATTTATCTAAATTATTTTTAACTAATTAAGGTTTTTCAAAGCAGTTCCACATACTGTATTTAACTGTATTAACTGTACTGTAAGTTAAATTAAGACTCAGAGAAGGATACCAGAAAAATCAAAAATCAAATGACATTTATTATTGATGCATTGTTTTTTTTCAATAAGCAAATTATCTTTTTTTCTTTCAGTCTAAAGAAACTTTACAATATAAAGAAACATACAAAGAACATCTTTTTTGAACTACACAAGACACCTAAGTCCCTAAGACAAGATTCTGGACTATCCTACCATGAAATACAAAGCAAACCTATGAGACCGCCTGCTTCATATTAAATACTGCCGTGTCATCAGAAGGACCAGGAACAGTACAGGAGACTCATTTATATACCCTTCGCGTGTATACCCCTCAACCCCCCACACCTCCACCCTACCCGCAAATCTTCCTAATGGTACAGTATTATACATCACAATAGAAGTACAGAGATGGCCAACGATCGATATACACGGAGGACTGAGAATCAGTAAGAGCATCAATCTATACAAAGCTAGTACAGGAGCAAATAGCAAAGGACACAGTTTTCCCCCATAATTATTACTTTGTCATCTATTCTTAATTTAAAATGAGGTTCTCTTAAGTATTCCTTTTTTTTTAAGTTCTTAAATCGATAAAAATCCTTCATATTAAAAACTGCAGTACGAGGTCACGTGTTTTCTATGAGAAGGTGCCCTTAAGAAGAAAAGAATCAGATGCTGATTATTCACAGCCAATGGTAATGCTAAACTGAAACATTTGGAGAGCGAGGCCGCCGTTAGGATGTAGCGGCTTATTTGCTTCCTCTGTTCTGCCCTCCTCGCTCCTCATCTCCCCTCGAAACACATCTGCAGCACACAGATGTGTCTGTGTTGTTCTGGTCTGTACATTTTCATGGAGATTGTTGCTATGTGAGCCCACTCGCCAGCGCATCCTTTCTCTATGTAAAATATGGACAATTTTTTTTTATTTATAATTTACTTTCAGCTGTATTCATTGGTAGTGAGTGACATATCAAAAACATGTCAATGATATCAAAATGCATTGTACAGTATTTACACACAAAAAGAACCAAAATTAAAGGGAGAGGAGTTAAAGGGTGTGTGGGACGGGACGAGAGGGAGGAAGGAAGAACTGCTGAAGAGAGTTCCCAGGTCACTGACAGCCTGGAGATGTCCCTGTTAATGTCATGTTAGATCATTTCAAGGATGCAAAGATTTTTTTCACAGTCACCTACAGGGGCCTGGGCCGTTGTTTTTGTTAGGCCCTCAGAGACTGTTTAACTCCCAAACAGTGAGTTAATCAAACCAAGAATACATGAAATAAAGAAAAAAAAACGAATAAAAAAAAAACCAGTGTCATACTGTAGCTTCTTTTGTGTGCAGATTTCCCGGGCATTTTAGTTGAACACATTTAAAAGAAAAACAATCCACCAAAGACAGAGAAGCTCGTATGTGACTTTTAACCCTTTCATTTTGCCACATGTAGCTGTGTGGTTTTTAAAAGGGTGAATCACTCTGCTCCCATCGTCGGTGCTGCTGCAGCGAACTCCCATATTCAGAACCCACTGTCTCCGAACACGTCTTTCTAAAGGATATGTCAAATGCAGCTACAAGGACACAGATCAACCTCAAACTGAAACCATGACACACAGAGATCCCACAGCCACGCCCTGGTCTCAATGAAAATAAATATTCCTGGTAAAGAACAGCGCCACCTGAAGAGCCCACTGTGAGGCTCAAACCAAACAAAGGGACGGAAATGAGAAATAATATTTAAAATTCACAGGTTATATTGTAAATAACAATAAATCGACAACCACACACGCTTTCATGAATTACTCTATATACAAACAGGAAGAAAAACAACAGAAAAATTAAATGCTCTGACGATTGCTAATGATTATAACCAGCTCTGTCTCGTCCTGCTCTAGAATCAGGGGCATTCAAACAAGAAAAATAAATCAGACGCAAGTTCATTTTGCTGCCTCTCTGTACCAGGAGTTAAAGTTCAAGGAAAGAAAGAGAAAGAACCCTCATCATATACTGCATGAACAGATGAAAAAAAAACTGATTATATGAGGGGTAATCTGAAAGTTTAGTTTACAGACAGGAGGACGTGAGACAAGAGAAAGAGACAGAGAGAAAGAGACAGAGAGAGAGACAGAGAGAGATAGGACAGAAACAAACTATAAACAAATTCCCCTTAAATCATGTAAACAGAAAATCATTGTGCATTTTCTTAAGTGTGTGCTTATTCTGTCATTGTTGATGCTGCTGCTGAGATAAAATATGCCCTTTACAGGAAACCATCACTACATTAGACAACCATTAACAACAATGAATAATATAACAATATCGACAACCAAAAAAATACAAAGATTTCGTGAAACCGTGTTCTGCACTCTGACTTCACGACGACCACAGTTCATCCTGCAAATGGAGCTCCAGAGTCAGCCAGCATTATGTGGTAGAGTGGTTGAGCCATCACTGTCCTGTTAGAACAATAAGGAGAGCCTCCAGGATGCTCGGTGGCAGTTTCACACTCCTGTGCCAATTTTACAACTGTTGGGACCGAGGGGCGGGCAGAGGTGGGGGTCTTCAGCTAATTCCCGTTCCTGGAAGATTCCTTGGGGGCTGCGTGGCAGTCGGCGCATCATCCACAAGGAGGCAGAGGAAAAGGCAGTGTGGAGGGAGGCAGGGCAGGGCAGGGCAGGGCAGGGCAGGACGGGTGGATGGGGGAGGGACAATAGGGTGAGGAGAGATTCAAAAAAATAAAGTAAAAAAACACTCTCACACAGACACACACACTCACCCACACACACACACACAGACAAAATCACACACTCATCGTCATGTTGGGTGAATACTGTGAAGAGAGACAAACAGAAAGGGAAGGATTATTTACTTTTTGTAATACTCAGTTCAAAATGAAGTACAACTACAAAGATATTGACAATTAGGTTCATACTTTAGAAAAAAATCACTTTCTTTTTTCTCATGTTTGTCTTCGTACTTTTACACACTTGGCTTAAGAAATAAGGCGTGGCTTTGTGAGGAACCTGACTCTGGACCTTCTCAGTTCTTAGGCAGAAATATTCATATCAAGATTCCATTGAACTGACCAGAGATCATAATCTTTGACCATATCACAATATTTTCTTTTGGTAATGTCCTAAAAAAAACCAAAAACATAAACTTCCACTGTCCATATATGGTCATCAAATGCTCTTCGGTCAGAGGTCTGATCCCTTCTGTCCTTTTAGGAGTCAAATGCCCTGTTTAGATTACCCATAGATACAGCCAGCTGTTATTCTGTCAGAAAAGTGAGGGCAGAAATGTGTTGTTAAACCTGGCTTTCAAAAAGTCACTTTTGTTTTGTTACAGCTCCACTTGGAGAGGAGAATTTAAAACGACAGAAACCAGTCATGGTGCAGAATCACCTTGTGTCTCTTCACAGAAGAAAAGTACTCTTGTTCAAGTGAAAGGAACTGAGTGAATTAGCATGGACGCCCAAATAAAAAAATCTCTGAATAACAGTGAAGACAGATCAGTTCAGAGTCAGGAGGCCAAAGTCACAATCACTCAGTGTCAATCACTCAAAAAAAAAAAAAAAAACAGACTCGGAGCTGCAGTGTGAGTATTGTGCAGAGGATTAAAAATGAAACAGACATGACACTGATCTCCATCAGACACTGTGGTTTTTATAACTCTATCTTCAAATTAAAAAATGTGCTCACACTCACACTTTCACTTTGGAATGGGTTTAAAAAGTTGCCTGCCATCTCGCCGTCATCTCGTGGGGTGCCGGGAGGATTGTTCATGCCTGCCATGTTGTTGGGAGAATTCTACAACATATAAAAATAGATGGTTAAAAAAACAGAAGTTATATGAACAAAGAAACAGAGTTTAAAAGCAAGTCATCTCACCTTTGGCAACCCATCCATGTCCCCAGAGCCTGTGACAATGAGGGGAAAAAAAGACAGCGTTTAACATTCCCTCTCACACAGGGTTCCCTTTCAACGACCACCTTTCACATATCATCACCTGTTTGAGTTTGGTCAGTTTGATCAAACACAGACGGTAGGGAGACACTACCACATCCTGTCATAAGAGGGCAGAGTCCTACACGTAAAGGCATTGACACTGTAATGTGTGCAGGAAGGCCACACCTACAGGAGCCCACCGTATACTTCACATGTTGAGGAGGTGCTCACCTAGTGACCCGTTCATATGATGCTGCTCCATAGCACCCATCCCACCCATCTGTCCGTCAGGACCTGGACCCATCGGGAACTATACCAAAGAAAAAAGATTAAATTCTATTTTCCTGGACTTCCTCTTATATCAGTCGTAATTCAACGTTACTCACATTTGGCCTATTTCCACCAGGACCAATGGGGTTCATCATCGTGTAGATGTTTTCACTTGAGTTTGTTGAATCTGCGGAGGAAGACAGTGGGATGTTTTCAGTCAGTAACACACAGGACTGTGCCGTTTCCCTGACAGACAATAATGCAGCCACCTGAGTCCGACTGGTGTAAAACTGTCAAAAGCATTGGCTGTGGAATGAAGTAATGAATAGGAAATAATGAGCAGAGGGATGTTGGAGCCACAGGAGAGACACTGTAACTCATTGAATCTGACTTGGTATCTTGTAGATTTGTCCTTTGTTTATTTTAAATTTCAGCTACAGCTATGAAATGTTCTCACCTTTGTGGTGGAGCACAGGAAGAAGAACTTGTTGTAAAACTTTGATACGTGCCAGAACTTAATGTGAGCAGAACTGAGCATTATCAGCATTTGTATCATTTCAGAATTTGCATGAATTTCCAGGCATGTCACAGGTTTCAAGAGCCCAAAATGTGATTGAATTTGGAGAATAAGGTAAAAAAAAAAAAGTATTGAAGAGAATTGTAAAGACTCTAAAGGGCAGCCTGGCGCAGATGACATTGAGAATTAAGTCTTTTCAAAGTAAAAAAAAAAGATTTACTATCAATGATGCCAAAAATATCTGCAGATTAAAACACAGTTGATTTGCATTAGAACAACAGCAGACACATTTTGTCCACATCTGTCATTCCGTAATCATTATCATTATCTGGCATCAAGGGCCAAAAGTTGCAAAAAGAAGTGGAAAAAAAGTACAAATAATGAGTGGAAAGAAAAAGGACGGAGATGGCGAGTGAACAGAAGCACAAAGACTCCGGTTGCAGATTCCCAAATATATCTCCGTTTGTCGTGACTGTATGAGGGGGATAATACTGAGTGGGAGGTGTGCATTTGTTGTGAGACGTTTTTTTGAGTGTCTGTGACACAATGTGTGTGTGTGTGTGTGTGTGTGTGCGTTCATGCAGTCTTGGCATCTTGGCAACTGCGGTGGAAATATGTTTCCCCCTCCTGGTGTACGTGTGACCGGGAGCATTCTCTGCAAAAAGGTTGTCCTGGCAACCAATCACAATAGGGCTAAGTATATAAATAATAAATAATGGACACAGAAAAAAAAAGCTCTCCACAGGCCAACGGAAAGAGAACATCTCCAGGATGTTGGCCAGCACTGCTGTGTTTACACTGTTATCCTCCACAGAGATACAACAGCAACAGGTCCAATCAGAGGCAGCTCATTCATTTGACTGACAGGCCTCCGATGTTAAATGATAAATGCTCTGTCCTTCTCTGGGGCTGCAACAGTGTGTGTATTTGCACCAGGGGGTTTAGTACAAATACACACAATTACTGAAGGTTCAGTGTGTGTGTGTGTAACCTTTATGTGCTGATCACGCCAGTCATTTCATGGCTCCTGGCAACTTCTCATTGGTTCGGGGTTAACACAGAGGAGTCTCACATATTAAATGGAAAAGTCTGCTGCTGTTCAGGAAAACTACAGTTTTCCACTGAACTCCAATATCAGTGGAAAAAGGGCATTTGAATAGGGCAAAGAAAACGTGTTGCCGTTGTTAATTCCAAATCAGCCACTGGTAAAAACATCGTCGTAAATATTATCAGAAAAAAACAAGGGCAAAAGCTGTGAAGACAGCAGACATCAGACAGAGAATCTGAGAGAGGCAGTGTCAGAATAGAAGTGTGGAAGCCACGAGTCATGCTGCACTTAAAAAATGTATTATTATTAATATTATTATTATTGATACATCCCTAATTTCAACTGTTAAAGATGGACGGTGTGAGGTTCGTGGTGTTTGATCATACAGCATGATCTCATCTGCTCCTCTTTCCAGTGCGGCGCTCCGTGTTAAACACTCCTGTAGGAGCACATCATAGAAGGGAGGAATAGCTGCTGTGAGGTGTCCCAGACGGGGCCTTGATTGTCATTCACTATGACATCCCACAGGACGACGTGATTCATTTCGGGGGCTGACACGTATCAGACCTTTACACCTGACGGAAGCAGAAATAAACTGTGCAAAAGAGACAGAGTCTGTCCTCGGTGTGCAGACAGACTCAGACTCAGTCATCTATCAGTGAACACTAGGTAAAGGTAGAAAACAGAGGAGAGGCATGAAGCGGTAAACTCACCTCCAGGGCTAGGCATGATGGGAGTTCCTGGTGGGCCTCCTCCCCCTGGGGGACCCTGAGGATTGAAGAAGTGGGAAGTGAGTGCTGAGTGCATCACCACAGCGGCGTGCCTGTTAGACATCACTGCACTGACGGCTAATTTATGAGCCGTTGTCAAATGGCAGCCTAGGATAGAGAGCTTACCACGTAGTTTCCTGGAGATGAAGATGAATATGCTATCTGTGGAGAGAGAGGAGAGCGCAGATGAACATCAGAACATAAGACCGTCACCGTACACACTCTTCTACATACACAGAGGAAGTCAGAGGAAGTGACTCACTGAATTAGAGTTAGGATTTGGCCACGGACCTCTGCCACCAGGACCCCTGCAAAAAGAAGCAACAATCAGAACATTTTCATTTCAACAAAAGCCAGATTACTCCTGAAGTACTCCTCAATCTCATTCTTGATTTAAATACTTTAGGTACCAACATGCAGGACTTCAAATCCTCTTTTTCTTAGCAGCTCATGTGGTGTCAGTGGAGCGTCCACCTCACCCTACCTCACCCTCAGCCTAGCTCTCTCTACTGTAACACCAACCAGCTCCATAAATCGTCTCAGGGATCTCCCTCCTCTCCTCCCACCTGGCAGCTCCATCTCCACGATCAATATCAACAGAAACCATAGAAAGAGTTCCGATAAGGTCTTTCACTTTATTGTTCCAGTGTGAACTACTCTGATATGTTTAGATTCTGAAACATCAACACGCCGATTTATTTTTTTTCTCTCCGTGTGTCAACATTTTTCTGAGTTCAGTTTCTGTCAGTGAACATTTTAAAGTTTTCTTTTAAAGCTGTCGTACGGAAACATTAAAACTATATTAGTCTGTTATTGTTCAGCCACTGTATCTGAGGTGATAGAGTGGACATTTAGTCAGCTGTAATAAAATGACTCAATATAATATAACACTGTATTTGCTGCAGGGCTTAGATAATAAATGGAGAAAAAAACATATCCACAGAATGACTGACATTAGAAAAGGTAAACATACACCATCCATCCATCCATCCATCCATCCATCCATCCTTTGAAATGTGACAGAAATGTGTTTCCAAATACACTACTTTTTTTCAAGAACCAAATTA